TCGATGGAAGCACTATTTCGAATGCAAAACATTGTTGTACGCGTTACTTTTCAATGCAACATTGCTTGAAACGTTATATTTGAACGCAAACATTGTTAGAATCTCTATTTCAGATTGCAACATTATTAGAAGCGTCATTTCGAACGCAAACATTATTACAAGCACTACCCTTGAATGTAACATTGTTACAAGCGTCACTCTCGCTTGTAACATCGGTAACTCGTATTATTTTAGAATGCACATTGTGGCAAACGTGTTGTCGAGTTTGCAGCAGCATTGTGGCCGCGAATCGCTCCCGAAAATTGCACATTGTTGCAAACGCGGTTCTCCCTTTGCAACATTGTTGCTGTGAATCGCTCCCGAAAATTGCACATTGTTGCAAACGCGTTCTGGGCTTGCAACTTTGTTGCCGGGACTCGCTCCCGAAACTTGCACATTGTTGCAAACGCGTTCTCGGCTTGCAACTTTGTTGTCACGAAAATTAGCACATTGTTGCACGACGCACCGTTTTGCAACAATGTGCAATTTTCGGGAGCGACTTTCGGCAACAAAGTTGCAAACGCGGTTCTCCCTTTGCAACATTGTTGCCAGGAATCGCTCCCGAAATTTGCACATTGTTGCAAACGCGTTCTCGGCTTGCAACTTTGTTGTCGCGAAAATTAGCACATTGTTGCACGACACCCCGTTTTGCAACAATGTGCAATTTTCGGGAGCGACTTTCGGCAACAAAGTTGCAAGCGCGATATCACCATTATGCAACATTGTTGCCAGGAATCGCTCCCGAAATTTGCACATTGTTGCAAACGCGTTCTCTGCTTGCAACTTTGTTGTCGCGAAAATTAGCACATTGTTGCACGACACCCCGTTTTGCAACAATGTGCAATTTTCGGGAGCGACTTTCGGCAACAAAGTTGCAAGCGCGATATCACCATTATGCAACTTTGTTGCCCGGAGTCGCTCCCGAAAATTGCACATTGTTGCAAACGCGTTCTGGGTTTGCAACTTTGTTGTCACGAAAATTTGAACATTGTTGCACGACACCCCGTTTTGCAACAATGTGCAATTTTCGGGAGCCATTCCTGGCAACAAAGTTGCATAACGGTGATATCGCGCTTGCAACTTTGTTGCCGAAAGTCGCTCCCGAAAATTGCACATTGTTGCAAACGCGTTCTGGGTTTGCAACTTTGTTGTCACGAAAATTTGAACATTGTTGCACGACACCCCCGTTTTGCAACAATGTGCATTTTTCGGGAGCGACTCCCGACAACAAAGTTGCAAACGCGGTTCTCCCTTTGCAACATTGTTGCTGTGAATCGCTCCCGAAAATTACACATTGTTGCAAACGCGTTCTGGGCTTGCAGCTTTGTTGCCGGGTCTCGCTCCCGAAACTTGCACATTGTTGCAAAACGGGGTGTCGTGCAACAATGTTCACATTTTCGTGACAACAAAGTTGCAAGCCCAGAACGCGTTTGCAACAATGTGCAATTTTCGGGAGCGATTCCTGGCAACAAAGTTGCATAACGGTGATATCGCGCTTGCAACTTTGTTGCTGTGAATCGCTCCCGAAAATTACACATTGTTGCAAACGCGTTCTGGGCTTGCAACTTTGTTGCCGGGTCTCGCTCCCGAAACTTGCACATTGTTGCAAACGCGTTCTCGGCTTGCAACTTTGTTGTCACGAAAATTTGAACATTGTTGCACGACACCCCGTTTTGCAACAATGTGCAATTTTCGGGAGCGACTTTCGGCAACAAAGTTGCAAGCCGAGAACGCGTTTGCAACAATGGGCAATTTTCGGGAGCGACTTTCGGCAACAAAGTTGCAAGCCGAGAACGCGTTTGCAACAATGGGCAATTTTCGGGAGCGACTTTCGGCAACAAAGTTGCAAGCCGAGAACGCGTTTGCAACAATGGGCAATTTTCGGGAGCGACTTTCGGCAACAAAGTTGCAAGCCGAGAACGCGTTTGCAACAATGGGCAATTTTCGGGAGCGACTTTCGGCAACAAAGTTGCAAGCCGAGAACGCGTTTGCAACAATGGGCAATTTTCGGGAGCGATTCACAGCAACAATGTTGCAAAGAGAGAACCGCGTTTGCAACTTTGTTGTCACGAAAATTTGAACATTGTTGCACGACACCCCGTTTTGCAACAATGTGCTAATTTTCGTGACAACAAAGTTGCAAACCCAGAACACGTTTGCAACAATGTGCAATTTTCGGGAGCGATTCCTGGCAACAAAGTTGCAAACCTGTAACGCGTTTGCAACAATGTGCAATTTTCGGGAGCGACTTCAATCAACAAAGTTGCAAACTCCATTACGCGTTTGCAACAATGTGCAAGTTTCGGGTGCGACTCCCGGCAACAAAGTTGCAAGCGCGATTTCCCCTTCCTCAACTTTGTGTCGCGCGCGGGACAATTCCAAACAATTCCAAACGCTAGAAATGTTTAAATTTCTCTTCAGAAATACCGTAACAGATGTTTCACCAATTAAAACAATTGTTTTTAGGGGGATTACGGTGCTACAGGACTCCCAGGTGCGGATGGTTACCCAGGCAGCGATGGTATTCCAGGTGGAAAAGGTGACGATGCATTAACGCCAATCGAATATCTAAGAGGAGTAAAAGGCTTTGGCGGTATTCCTGGAATGAAAGGCATAGAGGGTGATAAGGGAGCAAAAGGGGAACCAGGTTTAGCCGCGAACGCGAATGCAGAGCTAAAAGGAGACCGCGGGCCAAAAGGAGAAAGGGGTGGTCCAGGTGAGAAGTTGAGAAAAATAATAATTGTGCCATTAATATGAGATAATTTCGAATAATTGAAATTATTTCATTCTTACTGTCTTTCTTCATATACAAGACCACAGAAGTCTTTGTGAAAGTGTTAAAGCTTTTTATAGTGAATATTTTTTTATTTGTATGTATATATATATATATTGCTT